ACATAACATCACAACTGAAAGAGCTGCGGAGCTGGCCTACCATAGAAAACTGCATCTCCCCTCGACGCTTAACCGCAACAGAGGATGAAAAAGTAAAAAGTAAAAAGTAATACCAGTACCCATTCCCACCTGGCTGAAGTAAGTAAAATTGGTTAAAATATATTTCCCAAGGACTAAGGACAAAACGTCAGGCCCCTGACAGGATTCGAACAAATAACCTTATGGTGGAGAGTCTGAGAGCCTAACCAATGGGCCAATGAAAAGGTTGTTTGGTATTCTCCCATCTTAAACACAGCAAAGCTAACCTGGTCATTATGTGAGATCTTTCGTGTCTCTCTGTATAGCTTATCTAGTAGTCCTGCCATGTTATAGAAAATCTTTCAAAAACATCACATGGGAATGCTTTTTCTCAAAAAGTGAGAATACTTTCTAGCTCTGATTCAGTTACAACGGTGAGCTCAAAATTTGGTACACTTTCGTCTTGGTCTTGAACTTGAAATTTCTTTCATACCATACTTTCATGGAATTTGGCTCATAATCAAGTGTCCGCTAGCTGTTAATAGTAAAATCTACAAGTGTATAGCAAGTTGTCTCTATGACTTTAAATTTTCCTTTTCAATTCTGTTTTCAGGTTGTCACGCAGCCTCTCTCGGGTAGAAAAACTTTTGCCTTTTATATTTTATTGTCCTGAACAAAATCTTTCATATGTATCTGAAAATGCATCCATCAGACCACACAATTCCTACTAGAGTAGGTCATATTAGCTGCATCACTCTCTAAAGGTTGTTAGATCTGAAAAAAAGATACGCCTGGTCTTTATATCTTCGAACTTCAATCTTCAGACATTGACAAGTGTGCACTTGGAATGAAAGCGGATAAAATTTCACATTTGTCGTTTCCAAAAGTATGTCACAGTATAGAAAAGAATTGAATTTCAAACAGGGTCGAAGCAAGGACAGCATCTTTACTTTACAGTGGGTTTTTTTCAAAATCTTAAATCCTCTAGGTATGCTCCTTCAAAGATGACACCTTTCTGGCAGTTTATTGTTGAATGACCAGATGATTGAAAGAATGAGAATGGAAATGAGGACATCCAGTCCACCAAGGTTACCTAAAAAGTCCTTCACTACTAACCAGATCAAATCCCACAGTAAAGTCTATAAGGTAATAAACAAAGATTGTTCTGCAGTCTACACCTCTCTCCTGGCAGTCATATAAGGAGAATGAGTGCTATAGAAAGCGAATCTACCTATGCTGGAAATTTTTAAATAACCAAAATTCAGGATACATTTGTTTATTGTCCTCTGAGAAGCTGCAGTGTGTCCAGCACAGCTTTAGCTACAACCTTTTCCGTTGTGTTTAGATAGGAGTTGGGTTTCCTAATGATTGCCACCACTGTAGTGGTTTTTATGTATCGTGATATTCAGGTCCTTCAAATACTGTAACTGGGGCACTTCTTCTTCTGCCCAACACTATTCTACTAGTTCATCATGTACCTTTGAAGAAAGGTTTTTTGTTTGTTTTAGTATCTTGGAGGTTTTACGGCACTCGCAACTGTATAAGGTCATATGAGCGCCAGAAGATTAGAGGTTTTTACAAGAGACAAGAGAGTTTACATAAAAAAGAAGGAGAGGAGACAAGGGCGATAGATGTTTGGTAGGAAAGAAGAAGCAAACCACACCAGAGCACCCGCCAACCACCAATGGAGAAAGGCTATATTTCCAACTCTAGATAATTTCAACAGGTATCCCATCCTCACCTGAAGCTTTGTCCCACTCCAGGTCATCAAAGGCATGATATACTTCTGCTATGTTGTGGACTTCATACACACACACACACACAAATATATGATTTTAAAAATGCACACACACAGACACACATGCACACACACACACACATAAACATAAAATATACAAAGAAAAAACTCCCACACTCACATAATAACATGTCAACAGAAAACACACATGATATAATAAAAACGATGTGGCACTTACCATTGGCAATTCCTTCAGGAGACACTGCTTGCACACTGTACTGAGAAGGAATGAGGTTTGCTTTCAAGGCATCAACGAGATGTTTGGTAGAATTTTCATTCGCACCCAGGCCATGATACACTAAAACACGACTTGACATTGAGGAAACGTTCAAATAAAGTTTGAAGAAAAGCAGTGACTTCTGTCAGCATCAAAAGCAGAAGAATGACTCTGAAATTGGAAAAGAAAATATAGATCTAGAGCTTTGATAAAACTAAATATATATATATATATATATATATGTATATCCTATATATATAATATAATATAAATGTGGGTAAGAATCTTTTTTTTAATTCCCACCCAGGTCGGGTCATTCTCATCTTTCCTATCTATCTATAGATTCTAGATGTTTTATATCTATAGATTCTATACTGAATGCCGACCTCTAAACCTGGTGTGAGAATAAGACACATACACTGGCAGAACTAGATCTAGAATATAGCCTGAGTAGATCTAGAAATCTAGTACGCCTGCTCTACAATTTTATGCTGGATCTGGAAATATTGAGCACATTCAAATGAGAGTGCTAATACTAACTTGTGGGAAAACGTCACTTTCAGCTTTTGAATGCTTTGTGTCATATACATTGTATATCAAATAAATCTAATTGAAAGCAAAGAACAAGGCCAAAAACATGAACGAAAGTAAAACTAAATCATGCACACAAGAACACACACACCTTATTTAGTTTTAAAAAAGGAGTGACATATTTCTAACGAATCCCCTCAGGGGGGGGTGGGGGGTGGGAAGAGAAAATCTTATTCTCACCCGCCAGGGTGGGAATAATGGCAGCCTAAATCATAGATATATATATATATATATATATATATATATATATATATATATGTATATATATGCGTGCGCGCGTGTGTGTGTGTGTGTGTGTGAGAAATAAACTCTAAAACAGCCACTCACTGTCGAGAAGAAAACTGGTTGTATTATGTTGGCCCTTACTCTTACAGTTGGCCTACAGTTACAGTGTTATAACGATGTAAAAATACAAGTACATGTATAAGGGAGGAAATTTTTATGGGAAATGGCTGTTTGTGCAGGTGATTGTCTTGCTTGTCCTTACATACATGAGGCCGTTAGAGCAGGTTCTATAAATGTACAGTAAAACCTGTCTAGCCTAAGGTGGAATTCCATCCAAGCCAGAAAAAAATTTCGTAAGGAAATTTACGAGGAGAGGGAGGGGGGTTCCAGAGGCCCAATAGATCTAGGTGGAATCAAGGGTTGCTTGTTCAGGTGGCAAGAAATTGAGAATGAGGTCAAAACCACAAGATAGGTAGATCTAGATCTAGATCTAATTAGATTTATTAGTTGCTAGCATAATAATAATAATATTTTAATAGCCTCTGGTAAAACAGTAAAGAAACAATGGAGTACTTTCGCCGAGACCAGTCAAACTTCCAAGAGATTCAATGTTCTTTTTTGCGCATTGCTCAACCCGTTGCTCTCTCATGAAATTAAAATTTTTTAAAAATTTTAATTAAAAGAAGCCAAACAACAACCTCAGCATTATGTACTGGAATTGACTGCGAAACAAGTACAGAGGCCTAACAGTAGCAATTAAGAATAGCCCACTTACTGTACTTCCAGTAGGCCTAATAAACGTCATCCTTAATTAAAATAATTTGTAAACAAATGAAATGAACGACCAACTGTCGACTCTTGTAATTAACTCGTAAAATTTCAGTTCTCTTTGTAAAAGTAAACATTTGGTTTCAATTTTAGATTTAACGCAATGTACTTCAAATTTAGGAACAGAATTTTGTATGAAACTCGAAATTCAAAATCGACGCGACGAGTCGAGTTTGTTGACGGTTGTGTACCGGTAGCAATTGGTAAGTGAAAGAAACGGTACTTTTATGTTTAATTGTTTCTTTATGTTGTAGAACCCTTTGTCCCTTTATTCCCAATGCCCAGTTCCATCCATCCTCAATCACAATGACCCCATTCTTTTAGTAATTATTCTCTAACTCTGGGGATGCACTGATAAAATACTGATCATCATAATGACCGAGACATGCGATTAAACGTAGAAAGACGCAAACTATTTTTAGGTACGAAGTGTATACAGACCCGGTAACCGGGAACAAAGTCACGAAGTATACAGACTCAGTAGGGGAACTCTTTTGTGATTTCGGGAAGTTTCAGCCCCCAGACCCGGTAGAAATCTAGTGTGTGTGTGTGTGTGAGAGAGAGAGGGAGAGAAAGAAAGAGAGGGGGGGTGCTAGCAAAATGTATACGACATGCCCCAGTTGGCAGGAGGGAACGAGAGAAAGATAGAGTGGGAAATAGGTGGGGAGAAAGAAAGACAGAGACAATAAAAAAAAAAGAGAAGGCGAGCGATACACAGAGGAGAGAGAAAGAGAGAGAGGAGAGAGAGAGAGTCGTTCATCGAAACGCGATTGAAATTATGACATTGTAAACTAACTTGTTCTTTTCTTCAAATTGTGATTCCTCCAACTCCAAAACGGAGGAAAAACGATCGTTCATCGAAAAGACATCTTCATTTAGAATCTAGATCTAGACCATAGATCTAGAAGAACCTAGGACTAGGTCTACCCTGAGCCAAGAGGGCGCTGGAAACTCTCCGAAATCACAAAAGAGTTCCCTTACCGGGTCTGTATACTTTGTGACTTTGTTCCCAGTTACCGGGTCTGTATACACTCCCTTTTAGGTAAGGCACCCATCTTGTTTGATGTCAGACCAGGATACCCATCCGATCACGTGACTACATCTAAGTATAGCCAACTGCATGGCACCAAAGATGGAAGTGTCTATATGTATATCATGCTTAATCTACACCTCGCTCTCGGAAGTTCTGATGGCTGAATAGACAGCGTGTGTGCGTTTGAGGTCGTGCAATGATTTTTGGAACGGTTAGATACCGGTCCTGGACACGTTTTTTTTCTCTTCTCTTTATGGGGAGAGAGAGAAAGACGGCGTGCCTAGATCTAGCGAGAACTTGCGGACAAAACGATATGGCAACCGGCATAGTTCGGCTCAATTCGAAAAGTAAAATAGCCATACCATCTTTGTAGACGACCAAATTAGTTTACTTTTGTGCGATAACATCATTTTTTTCTCTGTTTTTGTCAATTTGATCATCCACACCGATAGAAAGTATTCAGAAATTAGGAAAAAAGGTCTTGTTTTACACCAGGAGAGAAAAGCCATTGCTGGCAAGTCTCACCCGGGGTGAGAGGTCGATCGTATTTTTATTCTCACCCCGGGTGAGAATAGCCACACTTCCTTTTCACAAAGACCCTGAAAGGTAAGTCAATTGGTGGATAAGTAGATATAGGCTTAAAAATAGCGGATTATTCAGAGAAAATTGGGATTGTTTACAGACCCGGTAACCAGGAACAAAGTCACAAAGTATACAGACCCGGTAGGGGAACTCTTTTGTGATTTCGGAAAGTTTCAGCGCCCTCTTGGCTCAGGGCAGACCTAGGTTCTCCTAGATCGAATGGCTTAGGTCTAGATCTAGACTGACAGACATAAATCTTTGATCTAGTTTCGAGGCTAGCCTAGATCTAGATCTAAATGAAGATTGCGGATGTGTTTTCAATGAACGATCGTTTTTCTTCCGTTTTGGAGTTGGAGGAATCACAATTTGAAGAAAAGAACAATGACATAATTTTAATCGAGCTGTCACCTTCTCTCTCTCTCTCTCTCTCTCTTTCTCTCCTCTGTCTATGTGTATCACTCGCATTCTCTTTTTCTTTGTTTGTCTCTGTCTTTCTTTGTCCCCACTTTTTTCACACTCTCTCTCTCGTTCCCTCCTGCCAACTGGGGCATGTCATACATTTTGCTAGCACTTCTCTTCTCTCTCTCTCTCCCTCTCTCTCTCTTTCTCTCTCTCTCTCTCTCACACACACACACACTACCGGCTCTGGGCGCTGAAACTTTCCAAAATCACAAAAGAGTTCCCCTACCGGGTCTGTATACTTCGTGACTTTGTTCTCGGTTACCGGGTCTGTATACACTTCGGAGAAAATTTGTTTCAAAACACACACCTTTGTATTCACCATAAATGAAAGCGTGTGTTGTAACTTGTGTTCTAAGTAGATCTATATCTAGATCTAGATTCTAGATAGATAGATTTATTGTAAATCTAGGTTTTAGATCTTGGCTTCCTCACTTCTGGAGATAGTTTCTTTTGTTTAGATCTATTAGATCTAATTCAGTGCTCATCTCCCTGTCAAGTTCTAGATCTAGATTCTTTGGCACTTCTTCTTGTAAAAGTCAGACTTCATAACAAAGTGAAATGCTTTGCACAAGTTCACCAAAACAAGCAGAGGAAGGCAGAAATATTTCAACATTTGTAAAACAAAGCAAATTGGATTTAGCAGTATACTTGCATCAGGAAATAGATATGGTGAGTTGTATAGTATATAAATCTCTCTTGCTCTTTCTTTCTCTCCATTTTCAGCTATCCCAACTCGCTGCCAACTTTCTCGGTGTATAAGGGTATAAAAATTGGCCGATAAAAATTACCAGACCTGGACAGTCTATGTCACTATGTCATGTGCAGATGTCTTAGAAATTTAGCATCCCCTGTGCTTTGAGCCCTTGTAGTCGCTCAGTGCCGCTTTGCTCTTAGAAAAACATTAGACTTTGTTTGAGTTATTTTTATGCTACAACCCCTGTCATCCATGTCCGTTGACACCCCAGGGAAAATGTTCCTTGGTCATATTGCAAATTTTTAAGCCAGATAGCTCATTTTTTATTTGCTGATTACTAGAACATTTACATACATACACATATATATAAATATA